CCTAAGGTCCCCATCCTGTTACAGCCTAGTGTAACTATTGCAGTGTCTGGAGTAACCACTTCAGTCTGGCCTTGCTTCCCTGAGCATTCCCAGACTCTTCAGCTACACATGAACAATCCTTTGGCAGGTGGGTAATCAGCTCACAAGTGCATGGACTCTGCTAGTTAATTCACAGAAGCCCACTTGATTGCCTGGGTCTTGCGATATACTTTTGTTGCCCTATGTGTGGCCAGCCTGAGTAAATGAAATTTAACTCTTTAAACAAATCCACAAATGAGGATGAATGCTTTGTAATATTCCATGTCCTGGTTTTTGGTTTGTGAGATGGGTCTCGGTAGATGTGAGAGTATGTACAGAAAAAACATCATGAAGCCTGGGTCTCTCTGTCCACACCAGCCACAGAGAGTCAAAAACTATAGGCCCTTGTGTTGCTTTTATGAGTCGTCAACCTCTAAAAGTTTAAGGTTGATTTTTTTTTCTATAATGTTTTTATTGAGATCTAATTCACATAACATGTAATTCATCCATTTAAAGTGTAAATTCAGTGTTTTTTGGTATATTCATAGAAGTGTACAATCATTACTACAATCAATTTTGGGTTTTTTTTTTTTTTGAGACAGAGTCTTTCTCTGTCACCCCAGGATAAAGTGCTGTGGCATCAGCCTACCTCAGAGCAACCTCAAACTCCTGGGCTCAAACGATCCTCCTACCTCAGCCTCTGAGTAGCTGGGACTACGGGCACCTGGCACAATCCCTAATTGTGTGGAGATTTTCATTTTTATAACTGCTTTTCTATCAAGAGAATTTAGGATCTAAGTACCTAGATTTATTTCCTAATAGATACCAAATACCGTGCTGAGCACGCTTTTTCATGTAATCTTCACAAGAGCCCAAGGGACAGGCTGCCTCCACTTTCTTATAAGTGAGGGAAACTGAGGTCCCATAGCTAGTAACGGGCAGAGCTGGTGGGGCTGGTCAGCTCAGCTGGTTAGAGCGTGGTGTTAACAATGCCAGTGTCGGGGGTTGGATCCCTATATGGGCCACGAGTGGTGTGTTTGCTAGGAGTGGTGGCTCATGCCTGTAATCCCAGCAGTCTGGAGGCCAAAGTGGGAGGATTGCTTGAGTTCAGGAGTTTGAGACTAGCCTGAGCAAGAGCGAGCTGGATGTTGTAGCAATTGCCTGTCAACCCAGCTAGCTGGGAGTCTGAAGCAAGAGGACCACTTGAGTCCAAGACTTTGAGGTTCCTGTGAGCTATGACACCACAATACTCAACTCCAGGGCAACAGAGTGAGACTCTGTCTCCAAAAAAGAAAAAAGGGGGAGGGGGAGCTGGGATGTGAAGCCAGTTCTCTGTGATTCTACAACACTTATACTTAACACGGCTTCTGGAAGTTGGGTGACTATTGTTACTGCCCCACTCCAGGCACCCCTGCTGTTTAAGTCACACTGATTAAGTCCCTGTGTAGTGCTACTTACCTCCATCATTTTATGGAGTCCTCACACCAGTCCCATGAGGTGATCTAACTGTTCCTGAAGTCCAGTGAGGAGAAGGGCTTCAGAGAAGCCACACAGCTCACCTTAGGGACGTGGCTTATGGGAGCCTGGGGAGCCAGCGTTCAGCAGCACCCTGCTGCTGCTCCTTCTCACCATAGATCTGCTAACAAACCTGGCCTCTTGTAACCTTCTCTTGACTCAGGGAGAGTTTCTCTCTGCCCAGAATGCCATTTTCAAAGCACAGGCTGTATGCATGCACACTTACGTCCCAGAGTGCCACAGTGTTGGCCCCAGGGATCTCCTGCAGACAAGACCCCTGGTGGCCCATCATGGCCTGACAGAATTCCCACAGGACAGGGTTCCTGTCCACATTGGAATCCTCTGCTACATCAGCCCCCACCCTCACCCCACCCCCACACACAAGTATGGAGAGACTTGCTCAGGGGGATGGCAGGGTGGAGAGGGATTTGGGGGTGCCTGGAAGAGAAAGGTGGCAGCAGGGCCAGGCCGCAGAGGGAGGAGCGGTGACGGCAGCGGGTGGAGTTCCAACTGTCTCCGTGTGTTGCCTGCCCACAGCTGCTATCCTGGATGACCCCATGGAGTGCAGCAGAGGGGAGCGGCTCTCCATCACCTTGGCCAAGAACCGCATCAACCGCGCTCCTGAGAGGCTGGGCAAGGCCAAGGTCGAAGTGGACATCTTTGAGCTTCTCAGAGACAGCGAGTACGAGACTGCAGAAACCAGTACGTAGAATGGGGAGTGCTGCCTTCGCCCTCCCTTGCTGGCATAGGACAAGCTGTGGGTGTGAGCTGCACCCATTGCTGGGCCTCTGATGTCAGTACTTCCAGGGGAAGGAGAGAAGCATGAACCAAGGGCCCTGTGAGGATGAAATTCCCAGGTCTTGCTGTGAATCATATGCAGAGTAGAATTAAGACAGGATACTTGGGCATTCATTCCTTTACCCATTCATTCATTCCTTCATGTATTGATCTATCCATTTCCTGGACATTTTTGCACAAATCTTGGAATCTTGTGTGTAAGAAAGAAGAGAGGCACTTGGCCCAACAGTAGCTACATCACTGTCCATCTGATCGCTTCTCTTGCCTTATAGTGTTGAGGGAGGGTTGTAGGAGGAAACCAGGACTTGGGGTAGAGTTTAGCCACTCTCTGGGTAACCAGAGATAGGACAAATCACTTATCAGAACCTCAGTTTCTCCATCTGTAAAATGGGAATGCTAGGCTTTATTTCACAAACCCTGCAGGTTATTGTGAGGTTTAAATTACTTCAACTGTGGGAAAACCTGTTGATTGCAGTGTTTTATAGACACACATAGTAGATCATTCAGGTCATACATACAGAGCCTTTATTTTATGCTCTGGGCACTGCTTTTAATTCTCATAATAGCCTGAGAGTTAAGTGTTAGTACTTTCATTTTAGGAATAAACTGAGGCTCAAAAACATTGACTAGTTTGCCCAACCACATGGCTAGTCCAGGGGAGGGCTAGTCTTGCACCCTGTAAGCCCAGTGCACAATCCACTACACTTCTTTGCAATCCTCTGACCTGTTTCTGGGATTACCTTGATAACCTTCCAGAATTAGGTCCAAGTTACTGGGCTGGAGGCTTGTAGCTAAGCTGAAATGAACAGCTTCAGTTCAGAGGGAAGGAGAAGAGCCACTTAGCCCAGACAGATGGCAGCGTGTATTCCTTAAGACTCAAGGATCCCTATCACCTCCCTTTCTGACCCATTTGAAGTTTTAACAGCACTCAATGACAAAAATAAACATAATAAAACAGTTTGCTCAAGTATGTATCTGACATCTGGTCTTCCATCTGAGGATCCAGCAGTGCCCCAGCCTGGGCTGTGAGGACTGCAAGAAAAGATACACGTTCACTCTGGCCCAGGCTCAGCAGGTGGGGATGGGGAGGCTCTAGGGAGGTTAAGAAGGCCAATCTCTCTCTCTCTCACACACCCACACACACACACACACACACACATATTAATGCTCTTGCAGCACCCTAGTGGTCCCCTTCTACTTATTTGGTTTCCCTGGTTTATTCCCCATGCACCTATCCCATACTGGCTACCTAGGCCTGATTTATTCTTTGTTCAGGAACTTTTCTTGAGCATTTACTACGTTTCAGGCATGATTCAGGTTATCCCATGCTGGGCACAACACAGAAAACAAGACAGATGTAGTCCCTGCCCAGGTGGCTTATGGGCTCTTTTCCAAGCACAAAGTCAATGCTTCTTAGCCTAGATCCCCAAGGTCTGGATCTCTTGGACCAGCTCAGCTTATTGGGTGACTAGTCTCAGAAGTTCTAAGTGTTGGCCAGACTGCCCAGTAACTGGCCTTGGGGGAGTGTCCACTTCTGGTCCATCGCTATGATTGGTAGGTTCATGCTACCAATCATACAGAATAGAGCCATTGGGGCCAGCTGGATCTCTGCACAAGCTTCCTCCAGAAGAGGGTCCAGAAGAGGGCAGGGAGGAGCAGGGACCTACATAGTCATTTGTTCAGTCAGCCCGTAAATATTTCACTAGTGCCTGGTATATTTTATTCTAGGCACAGGTGATTCAGCAGGGAACAGACAAACATCCTAGTTGTCATAAAGTTAATTTCTAGTATAATGTAAAGGAACATTCAGATTTTCTAGGATCTTCCTGATGAAATTAGAAATATTAGCAACAACTTCTTATGAGTCTTCTGATCCAGGCTGAAGCATCCAGAGGGTAGGTCTCAGAAATGGGTCCAGATTTCTAAGTAGTTCTGTAGTCTGTACTTTGAAGAAAACAGCTCCTCTTTCCTTCGGTTCTTCAGCTCTGGAAAATATCTGAGACAGCAGAGATTTGCCCATCTGGAGGGCATCGTTAGCAGATGTAAATTTCTTCTTCCCATGACTCATGCTGCCTGGCTTAGTAAAGTCGATACATCTAAAATATTAAGCCAGATGAATCGGCAATAAAGGAAACTGATATCTTTATTTCACATTACAGAGCTTTGGGCATCTTTTTAATGTCCTTTTCTTAGACACCAAGTATTTTCTTAGCAAATGGCCCTCAGTTCAGCTCTTATATCTCAGTGTGTTTGAGACATGATTTGCATCTGTTAGATAAGAGGGCTTCTGGATCTTTCTACTCCAAAGGCCTTTCATCTGAAGCCAAAGTGTTTCCCCACATTGGGTTTTAAACACCACCCAGGTAGTTCAGAGAAAAGTCTCAGCCCAGCTCTTTCCAAAATAAGGGGGCAGGTGGCTGCTGCCTAAAGCCCCTACCACCTGTTGCTGTTGAGGATAGAGCAGGGACTGGAATCAGTGGCAATGTTTTGGAGAAGGCAGGTAGGAAGGAGACAGGATCCCTGGGGGGAGAAGAAGCAGCAGCTCTGTGATCCCCACTTTGGGGAGATTATGTAGGATAAACATTAGGAGCTTGGATTTTAAAATCAGACTGACCAGGTTTAACTCCTGGCTCTACCACTTGCTAGCTTTATGACATGGACAGCTGTTTAACCATTATGTGCCTCCGTTTACTCATTTTTAAAACAGGGGTGATGGCTCAGTGCCTATAGCGCAGTGACTAGGGCATCCACCATGTACACTGGAGCTGGCAGGTTCGAATCCAGCCCTGGCCTGCCAAGCAACAATGACCTGCCAAGCAACTACAACCAAAAAATAACTGAGCATTGTGGCAGGTGCCTGTAGTCCCAGTTACTTGGAAGGCTGGGGCAAGAGAATTACTTAAGCCGGAGAGTTTGAGGTTGCTGTGAGCTGTGACATGACAGCACTCTACAGAGGGTAACATAGGGAAACTGTTTCAAAACAAACAAAAAAACCCCCAGGGATGACGGTGATATCATCATAGGATGGTTTAGAACATCCCACAAGACAATACAGGTGAAGTGCTTAGCACCGTGCACAGAGCGACATGCAGTGAGTGTCAGCTGTGGCTTTGTTACTGACTTTCGTCTCTCCCCCTCACACATCACCTCCCTCTCTCCTCTGTTTCCAACTGCAGCCATGCTCAATGTGGCAGCGCTGTCTCCAGGGCTCTTCTCAAGTGGCCTGCTTGGTGTCAATGTCTGTGGTAATTGGATATTCCCCTTCTCTTTCCAGTTTTCTGGGCTTATGCGTCTGACAGCTTTGAGCCTCTGGAAGCCATGGGGGGCCACCTCAAGCCTGCTGCTGCTCAGAGCCATAGGCTGTGATTTCCCTGGGCTAGTGGCCTGGGGCTGATTCGTACCATTAATTAGTACACACAGGAGTGGCTCTGGAGCCCTGGACAATTCCCCTAACTCTATACCTATTGCCCCGTGGCCAGGGGATCTGCTTCAAGGAGATGAAAGAGACCCTGGTGATGTTGTTTTTGGTTGTGGCAAGTAGAGGCTCTGACTGAAGTTCACACTGTAGCGATCCAACAGGGGACAGCCGTACCTTACTTTCAGCAATAGGTGGGTTTTCAAAAGCTGTGTACATGTCATATTTAATAAATTGTATTCAGCAATGGTTATTTCAAGAATCAAAGATTCTGAAGTGTAAAGAAACTAACAAGGTTGGAGACTAGCGGTCAACCCCCTCAACTGATGGTTGAAAGTGAAGTTCAGAGATGTAAAGGATCACACAGGGTATTCATAGCCCCCCAGGAAACTGGAGAGGGGTGAGTAGAAAATCAGCCCCAGTTGTATCTGGTTCAGACACACAGGTTTTCGTATAGTGAGTTTATTCAACATGAAGGTCACTTTTTTTTTTTGAGACAGAGTCTCACTTTGTCGCCACCCAGTAGAGTGTCCTGGCATCACAGCTCGTAGCAACCTCAGACTCTTGGGCTCAAGCAATTCTCTTGCCTCAGCCTCCCAAGTAGCAGTGACCATAGG